GAGTTTATAATAAGAACCTACAACAAAGTGGGTTTTGGGTTCTTAAGGTAGATCTAACTGTCTATGTGCCCATTTATAAGCGAATAAAAGCTGCTCAGGTGCTCACGGCTTCTGGCTGCGGAGAACCAAGCAAGGCTCCTCCTTCAGCAATGGGTTGTCTTCTTCTGTGTTCATGTCTTGTCCTACTTGGTTGGACATGGAGCTTCTGTTAGTTTGCCGACAGTGCAATACAGTGTGCCGCCTGGGGATCCTCCGTCAGCCTTATGGATCATTCTTGCAGGGCTGTGGAGAAGAACAAGAGGGTCAAGACGGAGTGAATCGTTGCCTTCGCGCCTGATGGCCTCTGTGTTTATCGGCACAGGAGCGCTTTTGATCCCATTATGTGATCACCCTTCCATGTAAGAACCGTGTTAGTGTATCTGAATCTGCACACCTATGAACCCGATAACCCTCTACTCATAGGAAGCAGCTAAGAAGTCTTTTCTGTGTCATCTATCCAATCTTTGGGAGTGAAGGGTGCTGGGGCCATTCTCTGGTGAAACAGAGAGTGATCCGAACAAATTCTGTAGTGATCAGCACGAAGCTGTGTACAGCTGAACACAAGCGAAGCTTCAATGCTATGCAGTCATGAGATCAGATGCTCGTGTTCTCGACACGATCTGCTTGGGGCTTCAACAACTGCTGCCGATGACTGACACAAGCCATCAATCGTTAGCTTGACTCGTACTCTAGGTCGAACCATACAACCCTTTGAAAATCCCCATGAAGAGCACATCTCTGTGGTGAGCGCCAGGTCCTGCTGATCCAGAGATGGTCAGCTTCGCAAGGCAAGTCGGCAAAGGAGTGCCTGCCCCAGTATGGGTGGGAAGTCTCGGGTGTGTGCAGCGCTTGCATCTGTTCAGACGCATCCAATGACACCGGCAGTCCTACTTGGCTCTGCTTATGGGGAAAGATGAGTCAGCTGGAAGACTGGGAACTAGATCTACTTGATATCTTATCCTACACGTGCAGTGTTACTGGGCTCCAGCGTCGACCTGATGCTCATGGGCGATACCAACCAGTGTGCCTCAGCTTGTTCTGAAATGACCCATCCATACATTGCAAATTAACCACTGTGATCGTTCCACCAAACCGAATCCCAGGACGGAGAACGAGCCCGTCAAGCCCCAGATCACGGACTCTGGAAGGAATCGGCCTTCGAAGCGGAAGGCTGCTGTCACGAGGCTGCAGCAGCATCATGGGATCAGGGGCCGCACGGTACTCGTACTTAAGCTTCTTTTATATGACTACACTGACTACACCTACGCACTGTGGGGTTCACGACGTTCAGCTACGATCTTCGGGGCCTCCAGGATCTGTAGTCAAAAGAAGTCTCAAAGCAACCATATAAACCGTAGCTAAGCCTAGACCACTTATACTCTTCATCCAAGGCAGAGGATTCCCCCCATCGAGATGGTCGAGATCCCATGTTTGAGCTGACTGCTCTAGCTGATGAGTTCGATGAGTGTGAGGCTACTGAAGAGAAGGAAGCCGTTCTGTGTAGAACTGCAAACATACTCTCTGCGTATGTTTCAACATCCGCTCGAATGCCTACGGCAGGCACAGTGCTGCAGCACTGCAAGAAACAAGTTGAATTGTTTCGTGCGTCGCTTGGGGGTGTTCTTGCTGTCTTCAAGATAGGCTACACCAGTAACCCTGTTCGACGTTTTGTAGGCTATCGTACGCATAACTTTGCCACGATGAGACTGCTACATACCACTGAAACTCGGGGAGTAGCTGAAATGCTAGAAGCTGCATTGATTGATTCGTTCAAGCATATCCGAGGATGTCGAAACGATAAGCCAGGTGGTGAGGGGCCAGGGCATGTAGTTGCCGCTGATTATTATGTCTACATTGTGGGAGCACGCGCCGACCAAGCTAAACCCATAGGTGGGTGAGGCTTTCCGGAGTTTCACGCGAATTCCCGCTGTGTGCGACCTCCAAAAAACGAGCGACATCATGAGCATCGAAGTTTGTGGGGCTTACTGAAAAAAGCTTTCGATCGATCCTGCTCTGCATCATATCATTGCTTGTCTCTTGGGCTCGCCCAGGTGCCGTGCAAGGACGTCATCTTGCACGCCCAGGCGAGTTCTTCTTGCAAGGTGGGAGTACGACAGCTCAGCAAGGTTCCTTTGTCACACTCTGAGGAAGGTGTGCATAGAGTGTTGCAGAAGAACAGTTGCGGTCTTCCAGTGGAAATGGATTACATGGACCTGCCAGGCAAGCAAAAGCCAGTGCCGTATGTGAAACTTTCGAGTTGGCTGAAGTTTTTGGGGAAAACAGAACGTTTGCACTACCTGACTGGATGCACGGATGGTGGAGTACGCAGGCAGACGTGCCAAGAGTTTTGGAGAAGACTTCAAAAACTCAGGCCCCAGTTGCCAATCTTCAAGTTGGCACAGGACGGACGGCTACGCCTCGAGGATGTTGTGCCGCTGGCGCACCATGGTGACGAAGGGCGCTCTTTTAAAAAGGCGCCCTTGATGGTGCTATCCACGCACGGGGTCCTAGGTAAGGGTTCTCACCAGGGTCCGAAAAAGGAGCTCCCAGTCCATAAGGATCCCCAGAAGCTGCATTTTTTGGGCAGCACCGTCCTCACACACTATGTGTTCGCCGTGCTCCCCCACACCTTGTACAAAAAATCTCCAGATGTGCTTGACTCCATGCTCTCCCTGTATGCCTCAGACATGGAAAGCCTCGCCTTGAACGGCATCGACGTCGTTGAGGACGGCCAGGTGAGGCGTCTGTGGTGGTGGTGCCTAGGCGCCAAAGGCGACTTGCCGTACCTTGGCAAAGCCGGCCATTTCTCCCGGACTTACAGTATGTGTCCGAAGAAAGCGGTTTCAAAGAAGCCAGCGTGTGGCATTTGTTTCATGTGCTCTGCGGGCGACGAGAACTTGGAAGAACGTCTTCCATGGGAGGATATGTCTACAAATGCAAAATGGATCCAATCTGTGGGCACCGATCCTGGCTATGCCCATGACGGACCATTACTGCGCATCCCTCACGACGCGGGGGAGCTCTTCTACAGACTGGACCTTTGGCACATTTTTCACCTTGGGTGTGGAAAGGCCTGGGCTGTGAACGTCATTGCGATTTTGCATGATGCTATGCCTGAAAAGGGCACTTCCGAAACGAGGCTTGGCATCATGAGCAACGATTTTCGAGAGCATTGCCGTCGGACGAAGCAGTATGCTTACATTCAAGGCATCACGCGAGATGTGTTGGGCTGGGAGCACGGTCCTGACATGCCAACAGGGGGCTACCACAAGGGGTTTGTTACCACTCGGCTTCTGGTATGGCTAGAGGACTACCTGGAAAGAGAGGGCCACAACTTCTCTGATCCGTTTTTGGCGGATCTGGAGTCTCATCTGAATTTTGTCTTATGTTTTTCGTAGTTTATGGTTGTGGGTTGGTCGTTTGTTTCCGAAACAAGCCTGAGGTCCATGGCACGAAGGCCGCCAACGCATTGATGAGAGGACTGTATGCCTCTGGCCTTTGGATCAGGGCCTCTAAAGCAAAACACCTTGCAGGTCTTGGCTTGGCTTTCCTCCAGAATTACTCGCATTGCGCAAAGCGTGCCTATGGCATGGGCATACGGCGGTTCCCATTGTTGCCGAAACTACATTTTTGCCATCATCTGCTGATGGAGCTCTTGTGTTCGGCACAAATTAGTAATTGGGTGCTCAGTCCCCTCACCTTCAGTGTACAGTTGGAGGAGGACTATATAGGAAAACCGTCACGCACTTCCCGGCGCGTTTCCTCGCGCAGCCATTGCCTGAGGACGCTTCAGCGCCTCATGCTGGCAATGTCGGCTGAGTACACTCGTGTGGAAGCAAACCGGGCGTGAAAAGTTCAGTGTGCAACATCATGAGCATTCGATCGGTCTGAAGCTGGTAACATCAAACTTTCTGTGGCTAGGCAGTTCATGTTTCTTTTCAGTGAAGCCAGGACATTCATCATAACATCGATGTTCTGATCAGGTCAAACATACGATACCTACTTTCAGTGGGGCTTCCCTAGAGGCAGTGGGTCTTTTGACCTTACCGACAAAACGGCAGGCAAGCAGAGCCACAGGTAAATCCTAAACCCTAAACCCCTAAACCCCTAAACTTTAAACCCTAAACCCCCAAACCTTGAA